ATAAAGATAATTCTTATATATATTGTGTTGTTATCCAAAAATATCTTTTATAACAAAATTAAAATTCAAAAATTCATAAACAGAAAATACATAAATTAATATATTAAAATAAAAAACTAATTTATTATTTATTTTACTATATTATTTGTTAAAATTAATAACAAGAAGAATGAATCAAAATCTAAAATATAGATTTTATTTATAAAGATAATTCTTATATATATTGTGATGTTATCCAAAAATAGCTTTTATAAAAAAACTAAAATTCAAAACTTCATAAATTAATATATTAAAATAATTTTTATTTTAAAAAGTTAATTCTTATATATATATATATTGTGTTGTTATCCAAAAATATCTTTTATAAAAAAAAATTCAAAAATTCATAAACAGAAAATACATAAATTAATATATTAAAATATGAAAGGATAAATAAAAATATATATTTATAGTATTTTAGTTAGTAATACATTTACTATTAATTAGTAATTATAAAATTGCTAAGTCCGCATGTGCGGGCAAAACACCTAGTTAGTTAGAAAAGAAGGAAATATAATGAACTTAGTTTACAAAAAGTATTTTAGGAGTGAAAACTGATCCATTATGAAATAGAAAACATAAAATTGTCTCTAGATGTAATTCTTTCTAGAAAAAAATGCCGTCTTAGATTCTTTTTTAGTTGATGCAAGTCAAAAGTTATATTTCCTTTTATACTTATATACTATCAATTTTATTTTTGTTTGCTTTCCAATAAAAGTTATATTGTTCAATATATCAATACTAATGGTCCATCTGTGCTATACGTGGAATGTACGTATTTTTTATATTCTCTGTTAAGAATTTATTTATCAAATATAATCGTTAATATGCTAATCTAACTGTAAAATTTAATTTGCAGTTCACGTTATAGTTGTCTACTTGTGGCAAGTTTAAGTCACTGGATAAACGGTTAAGAATGAAAATCATTTTTAATAGTATTTTAGCTTTTATAGTTGTGATATAAAAAACCTTCAAGGTGGCAACCACTTACACTTTTGAACAGTACCGGTCACATTTTTAACTTGATGTACAAGTAAGGCAGATTGGAGGTTTAATATGCTAAATTTGCCAACTTGAGTGTTTAAAGTGCTTGTAAAATACTCTCAAGGTTTAAAGTGTAAGTGGTTGCCACCTTGAAGGTTTTTTATGCGATTTTCCCGTTTTTTATATATGGTAAAATGTAAAATTTTTTGAGCGAGTATTTTGATGGAAATCTAAATTTTTCCAAGCGAGTATTTTGATGGAAATAATATGTGAAATTTGCAACGATAATGTATTATTTAATGACAAAGAACGTAAACGGTGTGGTTTAAAAGGTCATAGTCTTGTAGACATTATTCTTTTGACCGCTTTGTATATGATTTGTGATAATTGCATAAAATTACGGATTTGTTAACGGGAAGGATGATATCTAATAAGATTTTTGTAAAAGGTTTTCGAGTAGAGAATTGCTTATTTACATTTATTTTGAAAGATAGATTTGAAAGAAGTTGTTGGTTTGTAGTGGGGGTCGCTGTTGAGTTATGTTAAATAATGAAATGATTTACTTAGAATCGTAATTTAATGGTAATATTGTAGGGTAGCGTATGTGAATTTTAGTTAAAGCATCAAACATCAAATTTAAGTATTACGAGCAAATTCATAATACTTAAATTTGAAACTTAAACATATTGTTGTTTGTGTTTATTTATTTATTTTCTAATACCATGATTATTCGGTTTAGAGAAACTCAAACATGCTACTATCGTGGATCTCTGATTTATATAATTAGTTTTTGATTTATATATATTATAAATATATTAACATAATCAAATTTCTTATTATATTTTGCTTTTAAAATATGATGTATTTTTAGTTTATGATGTAAATTTATGTACTTTTCATTTTTGTACACATGTAAATCTTAAAAAATATTAATAACATTTTATAGTTATTTAAAATATATATTTAAATATCAAAATCACTAAAATTAGTGAGGTGATATATATGAAGATGATATGATATTTATTATTGAGTTTATCTATCTTTTATACTTTTAAAATTTTACAATTATATATGTATAACTAAATTAATTAATATTTTTATTTTATAGAAATGTGTATGAAATTATTTATGATTATAAATATTATAACTAATTTGTGTTAAAGACATGATTAATTATAAAAATATTTACGAACAATTTAATTTAATGTAGTGTTAATATTTTCAGTCCAAATATGAAGATGTAGATTTCATAATTTCAAACTTATGAGGATATTTAGCAGTCTATTTTTATTTTTTAATAATTTTTAAAATGTAATAATATGTAGTGAGGTTTTTTTTTACATAATAAATTAGTTGTATTAGTTAAGAATTTTAATTATGATTACTATCATGAGCGTATCCAAACTAAGCTAATAAATTATAGATACATAGAAAAGAGGTTATAAATACATAGTTGTTAAAAAAGAATCTCATAGTTACAAAACTAAGTAAGCTCATCCCGAATTTTCAGCAACCGGACTTGGACGGTTGTGCTACAATGTACGGCTTCAAGTTAGTGAGCGGATGAGAAGAGTTTGTCATTTTAGACTGATGAATTTGTGAAATTTACAATGATTTAGAAGAAAAATGTGATGAACTACACATAATAGAAGCCACTTATTTACAAGTGTTGTTCCGCAAGCTTTTACATTAGAGCTCGGCGATTAAAGCAACAAACACAGCTACATGTTATATAAATTAGAGAACAAAATAAAGAATTCAATCCATAAGACTAAACACTTTCTCCGTACCTTATATGGAAGCATTTAGTGTCTTGTTTGTTTACAAAACAATAGTATAATGAATGTCAAACTTAGAAAGGATTGTGAAAGTTCCCTAAATAACAATAAGAAACATAGAGATAGAACTCGCGAATAAACCTATTCCCCCATAGATTGGGTTTTGTGCAGTTTCTATATATCTCTAGAAAGTCTAATCATTTCAACTAGGCCTGGGATTCCGACCCGAACCGAACGGTCCGACCCGAACCGAACCGAACATTAGGGCATTCGGTTATTGTTCGGTTATCAAGAGGAAACCGATCGGAAGGTGTTACAAAAAATGTTCGTTTATTGCCTCGGTTCGGTTCATGATATCCGACCGGTTAACCGAAATTTAACCTACATATATATATCCTTGTTAACTAAATTGTCGGCTTAACCTAAAACACAGTTTTTTTTTTCTTTTCTCTCAAGCGTCTCTGCGGCGTCGGATCTCAACCCTAGTAACCTCGTCTTATTCGGCTGATTCTCACATCTTCCCGACCATGAGGTAGGTTCTTCACTCTCCTTGTAGTTTTGAGTTTGTGACTGATTTCAATACCCTCTCTCTTTCTAACCTTAATTTTTCATCATATTATAGATGTCAGTCAGGTTGTGAAACAATGATAAGCTACTTGGATTGGATAAGGCATTGAATCAAGAGAATCTGGTAGAAAGAAAAGACCGGCTTTATTTTTCAGTATGTAGAGAATTTGCAAATTCCATGAGAATCTCACAGTTAAAGGTAATGGTCTTCTGTCTTTTATCTGCATTTTGTGTCTTTTGTACTTTGTTGTTCTGTTTTTTCACTAATTTTCTGAGTTCAATAAGTTGCAGGTTGGAGTGCAAGCATCATCGTGACTTTTCTTGTTGTTTTGTTTGGCCACCCTTTTTATTTTCTTGGACAGTTTTGAGTCATAGATTTATAGATTCAGAATGTTGGATCTTTCTTCGATGATTGGGAAAGGATGACCAAAAAAAAAAATTAGATATGTGTTGGTTTTGCTGATAAAATTCTGATTTTTCTGGTCATAACCGAAAAATCCAAAATAACCAAAAACCCAAAGATAACCGAGTGTAACAAAAAAAATGGGTTTGGTGAATATGATAAAAAACTCGGTTATTTTCGGAAATAAATTGAAAACCAAAAATAACCGACTTCCGAACCGATCTGAACCGAATTTAATTTCGGTTTTCTTCGGAATTAGTTTTCAAAATTTTGGTTAACCAAAAACCGACGGTTCGGTTCGGTTTCAGAAAACCGAACTCGCAGGGCTAATTTAAACAAACACCAACAAACATGTTAGATGTTAGGAATAAAGGATGATGGTAAGGGTTTGGCTCAACCAAGTATCTCCATTTCTGATCGTATGTACCTGACTTCAGTGGCGGAGCTAGACTTCTACTTCATAAGGGTCATAATAATTTTATCACAGGTAGAATGGTCATACAGCAAAACCTCTATAAATTAATAATATTGGGACTTTAAAATTTTATTAATTTATAGAGATATTAATTTAGAAAACTTTCCTTATTTAGATTTTTTATTCTAAAATAAATTTATTCTAAAATAAGAAAAATATTTGATTTTACTATATAATTATTAATTATTATTTTTAAAAAACTTGACATTTATATCAATTTTATTATATTATTTTGTGTGTATAATATATTTTGCATAGAATCTAAATTTGGTTTAAGACATAATATTACCAAATATCATCAAAAATGTAATAAGTGTTAAGAAAATATAAAGAGAATTCCATTATGAATATAAAAAAATCAATATAATGATATGTTTTTACTTATATAAAATGTGTATACATATAATTATTAATTTATAATTTTAATGGGAACATATATTTACATAGAGTTTTCTAAAAAAAATATTATCTTATTATTTTATCGATTTGTGTCAAATTTTGAACCGGCCCAAGTTGGGACCGACAAAATTTATTAATTTATCGAGTATTAATTTATAGAGGTTTGAGTATTGAACTCAACACTTAGGGGTCAAAAAGAGAATTTCTAACCACTTTACCACAACGAAGACACTTTATGTCAGCCTAAATGTTCAATTTTAAATATTCCACAAGGGTCGGTTGACCACCCTACTCACAATGTGGCTCCGCTGAGTCTCGAAATCAAACATTAAAAAATTTGTTCAATACGCACCGCTGATGCAAAAGCAAAAAACTTGTTTCAAATAAAATGGACATCATTGTTTGACAAACCAATACAAATTCTATAAGAGCAGTAGTGTCCATCAATTTATTCGATCAGGTTTCTGTAGATAACCTTAAGTACACAATCTAAATCGCAAAATATGAATCCAGAACATTGGAACACTATTTGGTATGGACAACGCCTTTCACAGAGACTGCAGATAGGTCGAGACATACAATGATTGTTGCGCAGAACATCTATGTTTACACCAGTGGGCTGGATGAACAATAAACCGGGCTTCATATATGCATCACACCCAATCAGACAATGAATATGTAACGTGATAGAACAAGACTCATCACAAGTATAAAACTCAATGTTTGGAGTTATTTTTCCCTCGCAAGCTTCACACCAATTCGTCATGGTACTTGTCTCCTTCCAATAGGAAAGTGTGAACATATGCTTGTCGTGCTTATACCTCACCTTTTGAGGTATAGTAGCACACATGAAACACAAAGAAAAGTCGCACTCAATGCAATTGAATGTATCCAAGCAAACATTATGATAACACATAAAAAATGCACATTTTCTCCGCTCTCCTGGTTTAGATGTTAGAAATAAAGGATGCATATGACTTCCATGTATTAATGGCTCAGAAATTGTGGCGCACGGAATGTGTAGCTTAAAATTACATCCTTCTTTACCACACTCATAGAAGAATCCAGTTATGCAACACGAACAAGCTGAACATGTGTTATACATGTTGATTCTATCACCAGTTTGAGTCACTAAAGTGAGCTGATGTGGATGTATCGGGTGATGTATTTTGCGAGAAAGATTTGCACATTCTTCATGGAGTATGAATTCGCATTGCATACAAGAATAGAAGTTACCGAAATAGATTGGCCTGATGCATGCTTCACATATCCTATCCTCGTCATAATCTCTGTCCGCATTCTCATCCAGTCTCAAGTGATGTTGTTGATGGCTGAAATGCAGTATGATTCCATCACCAGTCCTCAGAAAAGGCTCAACTCCTTCTTCATCTTCATCTGGTGTGCCCTCAAGTTCTTGACCATCCCATATGTTGCTCTGCGTGGCACATTTGGAATGAGCAGCATAGGAACAACCGTTACGGGTGCAAGAATAGCCACCGTAATCATTGTGGATCTTCTTCCGACAAACACCACAAGACCAATCTCCATGGTCGAAAGAAGGGGTAAAAGAGAGACGGTGGTGGTGGCGAGATATCCTTATAACACGTGGTAAGTTGAGACAACTCTGATGAGCCACAAAGTCACATGGTGGGCATATATAGAAAGGACAATCTGAATGGGGCAAGGCACATAGGTTGCAACATAAGGAAGTCAGTCTTGGAAACAGAGCAAGGGAATGCGCATGCCACTGTGGATGATGTACAAAGAAGACTGGTTCCGTCTCCACACAAGTTATATTGATAGCAACATCACAAGCGGAGCAATAATAAAATATCCGTTTGAGACCTTCAATACAGCAATAACATTGTCTGTATTTGTCTCTGGAGGACCTCCAGTAGACAAGCTGTAGAGAATGTCTTGGATGTAGAGGGTGTTTAACCTCAACTGGCGCCTTGTTAGAGTTGGCATGCTTCCTCCCTCTGCAATTCCTGCAGAAGAAAAACTGTGTGATCTCTTCTTCTCCTCTTGTTAACCTTAATACCTTTTGGTCTTTGAGGTTACAGTTCCCATCTTCTTCCTTCTTCCACGGCTGTTTCTTTGTCACACAGAAATTTCCTCTCACAAGGATTACTTCGAACTGAGGGAATAAGGAGATCAGCTGCTCCGGGACACCCTCTGCCTCTGCATCCGGCTCCAAATCCCATTCAGTATAATCGGTGACAGAGAATAACCTATCTAGGAGTGACCCTAGCTCCGACTTCAAGTCCATTTTGTGGAAACAAGTGGTTATTTGACTGACAACTCTCGAGAGTTCTGGATCCGGATGTGCAGATCTGATGAGAGAGATCATTTGAGTCGCGAGTGACACGAGCTCCTGATCCGGTTCCGAAACCGAGGTAGACCGGGCCAGAGAGATTATTTGAGAGATGAGAGATATGACATCTGACTTTTTCGGCTGCGATTCCAAATCCACAGAGCTGACGGTAGAGATCATTTGCGTAATGATTGAGATGAGCGATATGAGTCCCTCCCTCGGATTCAAATCCGTACGTCTTCTGGTATGGATTAGTTGAGATATTAGTGTTATGAGCTCCGACTCCATAGAACTGATGAAAAAGATTAGGATTTGAGTTGATGAAAATGGTCCGAAGAAAAAGAGAGAGATAGTAATCGAGTAACTAAAGGCTCACGCTAGCTTCCTTTCTATTTTAACATCCAATCTACTCTCTCCCTTTCAAAGTGCAATAGATTTCTTATAAAACAAACATTTACTTAAGAAGATGAGAACGTTTTATATATTAAAAAGACCAAATAATTTTAAAACATTTAAATGGAGCGAGTACACTTTACAGGCTGTCTAAACACAACGGTCATAATAGAAACCATTGGCGGGTCCAAATTGTTTTTTTATACTTAAATAATAATTAAAGTAATAACCTGCACAAAAAGGCACCGATTCATAGTATAATAGATCACTAGGTGATTTTCCCGTGCTCATGCACGGGTACGAATATTCATAAAAATAAAATTTTATAAGAATTGATTGATATTTACTTTTACTTTTGAATCAATTTCTATGTATAATTTATATTAATAAATATTATATTATTCTAATTATACATATGACTTTGGATATGTTATTGTCGATTTAATTATTTTTTTGTATCAATAGTCGGTTTGGTTATCAATTTGATATATTGGATAATATCTATTTTTCGAGTTCAGCTATAATGTTTTTTTTCTAAATATAATAAAATTTTGTTAATTTTCTTATTTTCATTTCGGTTGGTTATTGTCTTAGATATGTAAATATATTCTTAGATATGTAAATATACGATGGTTTAATTATGTATAACTTAATATATATTCTGCTTAAAGTGAAATATATAATAAGCTAAAGTGTTTGATTCAAAATTACATAGATGAATATAATAATAATATTTTGAAGTCTCGGCATATATATAAATTCTACAAAAGAATTAAATTGTAATTGGTTAATATTTTATTTTTTTATTTTTAATATACTTTGAATCAACCTCTAGTTTATATGTACAAAATTAAATATATTATTATTATTATAATAAATTATATTTTCTTATTTTATTTGGATGTTTAATTTTGGATATAAATTAGATTAGTCGAGTCATTCATTTTGTGAGTATATTGAGTTAAATATATTTTTAAATTAAAATTGACGCATAATTACTTTTTATTTTAGTTGAGTCAAATCAAATTAGTTTTAAACTTTTATGTATCGCTTAAATATACATGTATTTTCAGAATATTTATTTACTCTTTATTTTAGTTAAGTCAAATCAAATTAGTTTTATTTATCGCTTAAATATACATGTATTTTCATAATATTTATCAAATTATATGTCAATTTCTAAAAAAAATATTAGAATATAAAGTGTCACTGATAAATTTTTGCATATTCATGAATATATATATTTTTATTATTTTGAAAATATATTTTAAGTTATTTAAAAATATATATTAATGGGGTATTACTATTTTGTGAACTTTTCTTTTTAATAAAGTCATATTATGTATATATTAATGAGGGTATTACTATTTTGTGAACTTTACATTTTTAATAAAGTCATATTATATACATAAAATTTCGTTTTTAAATTTATTTTAAAATTATAGAAATATTTCCTTTTTATTATATATGTTATTTGGAAAAAGATAAAAAAAAATTTAATAAAAAATTTAATAATAATCTTAAAATCTAACAATTCATTAAGGGTATCTATGTAATCAACCATCGCGAGAGTTAACGTGAGCGCGACACGTAAGAAACTGACTTCTCAAATAATATTATAGAGATATTATATAAAATTTACTTTTTCAAAGTTTCAATTAACACGATTGTGACTCATGTTAATTATATATTTAAAATTATAAAATATGTTAAATTATCTTATAATTAAAAATATATATATATTTAGATAATAACAAAAAAATAAAAATTTTATTAAAAATAATAAGAAATATTATTTAAGAGTAATTTTTCAGTTTTAAAATCCTTAACAAAATATTTTGACAAATAAATATGTGATAATAATTTTTGTTTTAATATTGTGACATATATCAAAATATCTCATGATTACAAATATATAGACTAAGATTAAAAAAAAACGAATTTGATTTTTTTTTTTAAATTGTTAAAAAGTAAAAAAAAAAAAAAGTAAAGAGTGTTTAAATGTAGTTTTCTATTTTACAATTTTTAAAAGGAATACCAATTTTCATTTTCTAAAATTCTAAAGAATAGATAATTATAAAAGATGATTAGATAATAATTTTCCTTTTAAAAATTTTCATGTGTTAAAATATCTCATAAGATATATAATAAGATATTAAAAATGAATTTTTGTTTTTAAACAAAAATAAATTTGCAAAATGATTTATTCAATACTATTTTTTCTTTTCTTAAATCATAAAGGAAAGATAAATGTAAAAAATATTTGATAGTAATTATTTGATAGTAAGTATATTTTTCTAAAATCTTAAATAAGAAAATTGTAAAAGAGGGTTTAACAGTAGTTTTCTTTTTTTTTTCCAAATCCTATAACAAAAAATATTTGTAGGATAATTATTTCAAATATTTTTTATGAATAATCAAATTTTCTAACTAGTTTATTTTCTAATTAAAAATCTTAAAGCAAAAGGAATTACATTATTTACAAACATATATAAGTCTCCCATATTTTGTTACTTCTCATATTTTGTCACCAAACATGATGAGAGATACAAAAAAAAATAGGGGTTTTTGCAAAACCAACCTAAAATTTCAAGTCAAACACAAAACCAACCTCTTTTTTTTTGTCCATTACTATTCACTCTTAAAAAACCTAAACTCTCCTCATGTTTCCACTTATTTACCAAATTGCCATTATTTTTAAATCTGATTTTATTTTCGAAAATTATTAAAAACATATTACACCCTAAACATTTCTCCTTATTTACCATAATGCCATTGTCATCAATATTTGCAACCACCCAAAACCACCATTGATGAGCTCTTTAAGCTTGTGTTTATGAAATTTCAACCACTTATTTCACTTTCTAAACAAACAATACTTCATTTCCTCTCATTTCCTCTCTATTTTCATCTAAACAATCCTCATAACTCTC